CGCCCGCCCGCCGGCAGGGACGGGGGCAGCCGGGCAGCGATCGCCGCCCCCGGCGCTGCCCTCTTGTCCGACCGGAGCCGAGCGGGAGCTGGACCCCGCCTACGGCCCCCGGGGTGCAAGGGGCGGAGGGGCTCCTCCAGGGGCCGGATCAGGCCTGTGCGGGCAGAGTTGGGCTGGCTGCCCTAGCAGAGCCTCGCTGCCCGGCACAGACCCACTGACACGCATGCCCCGCAGCCGCACGCGTGGTGGGAGGGAGCCATCCAGCGTGTGCTGCGGGCTGTGCGCGGAGGATCCCCAGCACTTTCTCTTTTCCGATCTCCCGATGAGTTACCCGCTCCCCACCCCCGGCCATGTGATCGGGATCCTCTGGCTGGAAGTTGGTGTCGCTCGACCTGGCGCCCTCCTGCCCTCGTGGTGCCCACCCCGCGCTCGGGGCTTTTCCGCGCAGCGATCATTGTCCTCGCGCCCGCAGCGCCGGCTCCTGGCCCGGCCCCGACCTGCCGCAGGGGAGCGATTGCTCCCTGGGCATCTCCCGGGGCAGGCACGAGCTCCGCAGCCGGGGCCGGGCAGCAGTGCAGCTCCGAGAGGGGGAGCCTGGGCCAGCCTCTTACCGCATTTCATCACGGAAAGCGGCAGCATAAAATGAGGCAGCTCCGCATCCCGCCAGGCAGGGCTTGGCTTTCCCGGGAAATGGAGCTATACTTCCCTTTTCTCTGTGGACCAGTGGGCCTTGCACCCCCACTTCCTCCGTATATGTGTGCGTACACAACTCCACACATCCACACGACAAACATCAGCCTGTCCCTTGTCACCCCCCCCCCCGGCTTTTCCCTAGCTTTAATGCCCTACCCCTTTTCTTCCCACTTCTCCTTTGTTCCGAGCACGAAGCAGGTGCAGAATAGAGTCCCGAGGGCCTCGTGCTGTGTAGGTGCAGTGTGTGCGTGTGTATGTGTGTGTGTGCGCATGCATGTGTGTGCGTGTGTGTCCGCGCCGGCCGGGGGCTGCCTCCTGCAGTGGCTGAAGCCCAGGCGAGCAGCTGCAGTGCGGTCTGCCCTTCCCCCTCCCCATCCATCAGTCTCTGTCACTGCTCCGACCCTCCCTGCACCGGTGACTCATGCTCCGCGCGGCGGTGCAGCCCGCAGAGGCACATCTGCTCCCCGCTGCCCGGCCGCGGCGCATTCATCCCCGCGCCTGTGCCCCGCCGCGGGCAGCTGCGGGGGGGTGGGCAGGAGGTGACAATGGGCTGGGGGAGACGAGCTGCGAGTCCCCTCCCCCGGCGCACAGCGCGGAGCACTTGTGGGAGGGGGACATGTCTTCAAGTCGCCTTTGTGCCCTTTGCCCGGAGCCACAGCTCCTTTTCCTCCCCAGGCTCCCGGCAGGGCTGCGTCTGGGCGCTGCGCTGCAGGCTCCGGATTGCACCGCCGCCTTCGTGCGGCTCCTTTGTGGGCTGCGATCAGGTGCAGACGGAGGCTTCAAGCACCGATTTGCTGCGTCCCCCGAAGTGCCCGAGAGCCGCACGGGGGGTGACACCGGTCTGTGACCGCCGCGGGGGCGGATTTGTCCGCGGCATCCAGGGCAAGCGGGCGCTGGACTTGGGCCCAGTGATCTCCCGTTTCCAGCGCTTGTGGCTGCAGTTTGGGAGCAAAGAGGGATTGGGGGGGGGGCACGACACACGGCATCTTCCAGTCTCGTATTGGAGGCCACAGATGGATTGATGGGCTGGGAAGGGGGTGGGAGGGGGCGCGAGGAAAGGGAAGCGCTTCCTGGGTTGAGCCGAGCGAATCCCGCTCCGCTCTGCAGCCGGGAGGGCGCTGCTGCTGCCTGTAGAAGGAGCTCTCGCCCGCTCCCCCGGGAGGCGCGTCCCTGTTTTATTGCAGCCGGGAAAAAAAAGGTGCTCGCTTTGCCGAGGCTCCTTCCTCCCGGCGGGGAACCGCAGGCTCCATTCAAGGGCGCTCCTTCCCTTCCCTTCCCGGCGGCTCTCGGTCGTGGGTGTCCGCGGGGCTCGCAGGAGCTAGCATGTCTTACCAGGGCAAAAAGAGCATCCCCCACATCACGGTAAGCCGGCAGCCTTTGTTAGCGGGCCGAGGGGCGGAGGCTCGCTGGGGTCGGGGCTGGGCAGAGCCCCGAGCTCAGGCTGTCTCCCGGGGAGGGAGGGATGGCCCCCGCCGGGAGCCCGGGGAGGAGAGGGGCGGTGATGGCGGCTGGGCGAGGGCAGGACCCGGGCGGCTGCACCGAGGCGGACCCCGCGCTCCGGCAGGCGTGTGCAAATCTCCCTCTGCCCGGCCCGGCCCGGCCCGGCCCGGCCCGTGCGCCTGTGGCCGCGGGGCTGGAATTCATCCTGGCCGCGGGGG